CCCGTATCATGCCCCTGGACCCTCACCCACTGTCTGCTAGATTTTTGGAAAATAGTGTTTTTTAAAAAGCGTACTGAACCCCCAGGAAAAAAAAAACTGGTAGTACAGAGGAGGATATTGTTGAAGAAAACCATACGGAGTTCATAACTGTTCAAAATTAAAATCCAGTGAAGCTATCGGATTCAACCTTTTTACAAACCACTGAAATGCATTAAAAAGTATGATCACAACCTTTATGTAGATCCTACCCTCTCCTGTTCGACAGATTGGCCCAGAGATTTTTTTCCTGTACCCCAACCTTGTTTGGAAAACCATGCAATCCTGGCAAGCAAATCTTCGAAACATATAAAATCCTGTGGTACAACCTTATGTTACTAATCCTGCTTTCCTGGCTCCAACATTTGTTTTCCTGAACCCCAACCTTGCGACATCCATTTTTTGATGATTTTTACCTGACTTGGCATTTTTATTCGCCGAAGTGGAGTCACAGGAAAAAAAATTACCGGTAGCACGGAGGATGTTTAAGCACCATTTCACCACTGCTAGGCTCCTAAACTCCATCTAAGCAGTTTTAGGCGCCATTTAAGCAGTTTTTGGCTCCCGTTTAGGCAATTTCCGACACCTATTTCACCATTGCTAGGCTCCATTTGGGCAGTTTTAGGGTCTATTTACGCAGTTTCAAGACACCCTTTAAGCAATTTCAGGCCCCATTTAGGCCAGTTTTAGGCCCTATGCGGGTGCAAAAGTGCCATAAATTGTGCCTAAAACGGCTTAAAATGAAGCCTACGACCCTAGCAGTGGTGAAACTTGAATCTGGGCAAGGCCCGGGCCTCTATTTTAGCCATTTTGGACTAGGCTATCTAGAAAGGGCCCGTCTTTGAGTTCGAAAAAGGAGCCCCCAAACGGTCCCAAAACGCTATCTAGAAAGGGCCCGTCTTTAAGCTCAAAAAAGGAGCCCCCAAGCCCTTCTAAACCCCTGCTTTAAGCCAGGTTGGCAGGCCCAAGCCTCAGTAATGCTCATTTTGGGGCTGAATTTGGGCAAGGCTCTGGGGCTCAGTTTTCGCCATTTGGGAGCTGAAACAAGGCAGCCCATTTTGGTGCTTTATTTTTGCCTTTTTGGTGGCTTCATTTTGGCCCTTTTTGGGGGCTTCATTTTAGCCCTTTTGGAGGCTTCTTTTTTGCCCTTTCCTTTGGGTGGTTCATTTTGGCCCTTTGTGGGCCCTTTCTAGGCCTTTGCGATTTTCTTTTTTGCCCCTTTCTGGCGTTCCCTTTGAGCTTGGTTGGTTTGACTCCGTTTTCTTTTTGTTTGTGTCTGTGGTTCACCCTTTGTATGTGCGGTCTGCGCAAACGTTTGTGGTGAATAATTCTTGTTTATCGTGCGCCTTGAGAGTCTAGGGTTTAGGTTTTTGGATTTTTGGGTTTGGCGTTTTAGGATTTAGAATTTAGGGTTCAGGTTTCGTCGTCTGGGAAATACCAGAACACTGGCCCTGCGCAGGTATTTGAGCATGTCGAAGGACAATGGTTGAACACCGTTCTAATCTTCCGGGCAAACCATAGGGTCTTGCCGTAACATTAGTTGTACAACATGAAACCTGACAACTTGCAGGACCAACCACGGCATCCACAACGCTGCAACGGTCGTCCTGTAAGTACCGGCATCGTTGCTAGTTCGTGAGGATCACCCTTGGCACAACTGATGGATGCGATTCAAGTGACAGTAGGGGGATGTATAGTGGTATGAGGCAAGTACTATACAATTAGCTGATTTAACACATCTATATATATATAATACTGTATAATAATATTATGTATGTGAATATTATTATTATTATTTTTAGTATTATTGTTAGTATTATTGTTATTATGTAATGTATACATCTAGGATTGATGAAATCCTCAAGATCCATGAGAATCCACCAGATCTGGGTGTTCGGACTCCACCACCTGGTGCGGAGATCGCTAGAGAAAATCTCGGGGCTGCACCACAAAAATAGGTGCTGTGTATATTTTTGTGTCCTAAAGCATGAATGGGGCCGGCACTTCTTCGACTGAATCAATCTGAACCAATCTCTTGTCATAGCACTGGACTTGAGGGGCACAAACGAGATCTGGTGGACACGTGTTGTGTTGGCAGGTGGTCCAATAGTCGAATTCTCTGGAGAAATTGCTCACTTGAGAACACAAAAAGCTAAAATGTCTGACCGTCCAACGGGATTTTGAGTCAAGTTGTGCATGTCAACATTTTTTTGTGCGTTTACCTGAACAAATCCTCGAACTATCAGCTGAAGAACGTCAGAATTCTGAGTGTCTAGTTGGTTGATAGCTATCTGATAGGTCTCCCTAAGATGGGTAGTTGTAATAGTCCCCATAATACCCCGGTCGTACAATTCCTTATCATAACCAACCAGGATACCAAGGTCGCCTTCAGGTGAGCATGGAAGATGTTTAACCAAATATCATCGTTCTCATGGATTTACGGATCCTCAGTAGGTGTTCACAATCTATATATATATCATGATGGTGGTGGTGATTTATGACATGATCATCACCCAAATATAGAAGAGAGAAAATGATAGAAACAGTAATTCCTCACTATTTTAGCTTCGGAGTTTACTCAAAACCTATCTGCCAAGCGGGGTTGATCTGCTGCACCTGGCGGCCCTGGCGCGGTTTGCGCCGGGCAGCGGGAAGCGTCATCGGCCTGAGGATTTTTTTAGCTGTGGATGGGTTGAATTTGGGTCACCCTAAATGTTGTTCTGTTCAATTACAAAATTGAAGATTGCTGAATCCCAAGAAAATGAAGTCCCCATATTATATTATAATATATATATATATTATATCTTTGGATACTCTTGGAATGGTTTCAAAGAGCACAAAATCACCAGCTAACACTTCCCCCACCTGGGCTTGGCATGCTTGGAGTGGGGGCAAGTCCACATGAGGATTTCGCGGCATCTCGGAGCAGTCGGCTGGTGCCAGACGAAAAACTCACCGATGAACAGCAGATGTAGACGATGGCTGTCTCTGGAAATGGGGTTACTCCAAAAATTTCGCGGAGGGATAGTGATGATTTTTTGGCCACCCTATTTTCAGACAAACAAATCTGATACATCTCATGAAAACGAGACTCTGGCTATTAAAAACTCTCGCTTGATGCCGAGTAAATTAGCGAACCTGCTGGCTATGGGTGCCCACACCAGGGTGATTTTCCTCGGCGATGAGTAGACCTGAGCTGGCTCTCCTAGTTTCTCGCTTTGCCCAAGACTTCAAGTTGCTATCAACTTGCATAAAATTCTCAAATAATCCATCCATGGCGAGTCGAATCCCTGGTGCACCAGTGCATCACTAGCACCAGGGATTGCTTCATCCCGTGGTGGATCTTCATCCCTTGGACCCCTTGGATCCCTTGGCCCATCCCGAGATCCGGAAAAAAACCATCCCAGCCTCGCTGCGGTGTTGCACCGAGTGAAGTGGTTCTGCTTCCTGGGCCGGTCGAAAGGGAAAGTCTAAAATCCCGGGGATGGAAAAAATGTGTAAAAATCTTGCAAAGAACAGAATAAACAGTTGAAACATGTGGAAACCAAGACTGATTTGTGCAATTTTGTGCACATAATAGACATATCACAATAGACATAGACATCATATCACATGATCCCTCAACATTCTTCCCACAGGCCCAAAGGTAGGCAGGCCTGCTGGTTTCTGGGGAGTGCGGTTGTGCTGGAATCAAAGGAAACGCTCCTCAGCAATCCATGCCCCCAACGGGGCAGTCGTGAAATCCACTTGATCAAAAACGACCGTCGCCCATGGTGTTGCCAGCAACGGAATCACGGCAGGAATGTTTTGATCGAGGCCAAGTTGCTGTTCCATGCTCCACTCCCTGAGATTTGGAAAGAACTGAAAAAATCTACCCCATTTTGATCATTTTGGATCTTGGTTGAAGCATACGAAATTTAACCACCCAGCAGAAACGAATGTGAAGTACCCCTTCCATCCCCTTCCTGCACTTTGCCTATCCAAACAGCAGTAATGACAGAACAAAGCTCAGAAGTGCTACCCAAAAGTCTTTCATAAAAGTTCTGCTCGCAGTAGAAATTTCAAGACAGGTCTCCTGGCAAAGTGCAGCTGCCCTGTGTAAAAAAAAAAACAATGATCACTTCACTGGCTGCTCCCAGGCACCTTGGTACGGTCATGATCGGTCAAACCCGTTCGCAAGCCTTCTGTCCAAGCTTTTCAAACCGAAAGCTGCGGCCAGGCCAGTGATGTTCAGCGACCAGATTCCGATGGGTGTTCACGTGACCATTGGCAAATCGACGAAGGTGAACAGGTCTTCAGAAAGCGAAAGCATTTGCCCCTGTGTGTAATTTTCTCGTGGCGCACTAGCCGTTCCCCGACCTATTGATGCAAATGTGTTGTTGCTCAAATCCTGAACCCTGACAACACTTACCCTCAGCATTCAACCACAAGCGCCAGAAAATGATCCCCAGTTCCAATTGAATTACCATCAATCGAATCGCCACCAGGCTCACAACTAAGTTCTGCCATCCCAATAAACCCCACTACCATCAATGAAACAAAATTGAATCCTCCCCAGAAAAAAAAAAAAAAAACCTTTGTGTCTCCTCTCCCTCTCCGGACCTGCACATGACACCACCTGGAAATGATGTCCTGATCTCCTGAAGCAGACGGTTCAAATCGGTTCAATGTCAAACCAATGTTATGTTTGGGCCCTCTAAAGTTCACCAAATTTTGATCCACTTTACACTAGGGCCACTTCGAAGGCATGGAAACCTGCCGTGTTTTTTTGACCCACCACAATATTTCAGCTTTGGGATTTTCCGGTGCTTGGCTCCTCTACATCCCAAAAAAATGACTGGCACATTGAGATCCACATTAACAAATCATCCCAAGTATCAACCAATTTGAGGTCTATATAGCATCCCAAAATCCCAAGTAGGGATAATATGTCATAAACCACAACTTCGGGATGGTTTATGACTTTATCCCCACCCAAGCGGGACGTGGCCTTCGTCCCTCGCATTTGCCCCGCCCTGGCAGCTGCTTCCGGGACTCAGCGATTCGTCGGCCGCCTCCGATGCATCCGGCAGGTCGAGCTCCGGGAGCTCTGGAGGCCTGCGGATGTTTGGACCAAAAATATCCGCCATATCCCAACTTTCATGGGTTTTGTCATCATTTTTGTCATAATTCATTGGTTTTCATTGCTTTTCTCAAGGATTCTTTTTGTCATAAATGTCATGAATATCCTCCCTCGTTAATTGCGGCCTCTCTGCAACCTCCACGCTTGTGGGCAGGTGCCTGCCACTTGCACTGGCAGCCCCAGCTCTTTTCCATCAAGACTTTCAGACCAGGTTCTAGTTCTGCTGGGGCTTACGGAGGCGATGCTTTCCGGGATGTCATGTGGTTAAAGCAATATATTTAACAAGCCCCTGAATAATCTGTTCCGCAATTTGTCCACGAAATTTACTAGCTTCATAAGGCTTCATACCCCAAATCACGGTGGTTATGCTATTGGATTTGCCACTAATGATCTCTGATCGTAATGTCTATCTATTGATGACCACACTGTATATGCTTCGATCCCGACTTATTGGATGATCACTATATTTACGTCTGTGGCTATGACTGTCAATATCATAATCATGATCATCATATCCCTATCATGCATGTCATGGTTTTATTGTTCTTGTGATTATCATCAATTATCATCAATTATCATGAATTATCATGAATTATCATCAATTATCATCAATTATCATCAATTATCATCAATTATCATGAATTATCATCAATTATCATCAATTATCATCAATTATCATCAATTCTCATCAAGTATCATCAAGTATCATCAAGTATCATCAATATCACTATCCTGTTCCTTATACTAGCCTTGCACATCCCTGTTGGGATTATATCAATATCACTACCCTATTGGGGGATTATATCATCAATATCCCTGTTGTTATCCCCCAGGGAACAAGGATGTGCCCGAAGGCCTCCAACCACTCCACGCGGCTTCGCGGCCCAAAGGCACGACCAGTGGGCTGCCCGGCGACTTGGGGCTCGCCGCCGAACTGCCGGGAGGTCGGAATTCACTACGGACTATTGATAATAGTTCTAATAGTTATATAATTAAAATAGATGTTGAGATATGTTTAGTTCATATTAATGATTATCAATGATTAATGGTACTACTGAGAATATTGATGTTTATAGTTAATAAATGTTAAGAGTATACTACCTATGAGTTGCCGACTATTTTTTGTTCGTGACGTGTTTGTTTTACTGTTAATATTGCTAGTATCATTGCTGCACTTAGTACTACTCTTGTCAAGGAAAACTATGGGTACACAAGCAGCAAAAAAGTATAAATCGGGTAACCTGAATCCCAGTGCTACGGCAGCTTTTCGTCAATCCCCCAACTTAGAGCTTCATGTCCTTTCATGGCAAGAGCCATCACCAGCATCTTGATCCACCTCAACAAGAATCACATTTCACACATTCTCACACCATAACAGCCAGCCTGCTTGGCGCCACATCTGCATCCCCTCTCTCTGCATTTTCTTCCTCTGCATCCAATGCTTCCAGTGTCACTGGCTCCCAGGAGGGGAGCAAAGAAAATGGTGGAGGTGGAGGTGGAGGTACCTCAGCTCCAACAGACAAAGGTGGAGCGGATTGTGGTTGGACCGGCAACCACGCCGTATTCACCATTGCTGTGCTTCTATCAGCAACTATAAGGATTGTTGATCTGTTTTATACAGTATGTATACAGTATGTACGGCCTCAATTGTTTCAGAACTGTATGTAGGTCCCGGCAAAACTTGAAACTATGCAAAAGGTTTTTTTGAGACAGGTGCAACTATGCATGAGCAAGTGAGTGCCCACCAGCCCGAAACAGGTCAACTAAAAGGGGACATGCGTTTTCCATTCAATCTTGCAAGAAGTGGTGAAGTGGTACGTATACTCGGATATGCCAACACTTTTTAAGGTTTCAATATTTCAACATGTTCCATCGTTAAGTCTAAAACAACTTGCATAAGACGACAGGAAGATCTTTCCAGTTGGCATTGCATACGTAAGAACGTTCCTCCGAGACTCGTTGCGTTTCGCAAATGGGTACCAGCGGACCCGCGAAATTGATCCTTTCTAGATGTATCAACCCATCAATTGTTCATTGGGGGTATTGGAGATTGGCGGGCTGGGAAACCTATCTCAAAATTCTCAAATCCGAAAAAGCCTCCTATCTCCGACGTCTAAGCTGCCGACCACATCGGCCACATCGTCAGGCTCAAGGACTGCTTGGAGGGGTTGCGATTCGCCAACATGACGTCGGACCTGCGGAGATCTGAACTGGTGGACGACCCCCCCATTCTAGGGCCATTTCAACGGTCATTCAATGGCAATAGATTTGGATTTTGATGGTCCTCTGGGACAACCCTATATGCCTACTATATGCTTGTTTTGAGTGCTTCCATAAGCCTGCAGAAGCCTGCCGATTGTCTACAAGGAGCCCCCAGAAACATGTTGAGTACAACCCCAAGAGGTTTAATTCCCAGCTGCTCCTGTGAACAGAGTTAGCAGAAAAGTGGCCCTCAAGAATAAGAAGTCTGGTGAAATGACTGGAGGCTAGTAACAAAGTCTTAGCCTAACATCCTTCGACAGGTGAGATAGTCATCCAGGATTCAGCATTTTACACTATTTATACTATTTACTATTTACACTTAATTGACCTGAATTGTATGGACTTGTCAGGTTCAACATTTCAACCCTGCCACCGACTCTGATCCAATGGGATGGACATGGCACGGTTTAGGGCAAGTCGGGCCTCCCTTGCAGTCACCAAACCCCGACCTCGGGCAATGGCATCCAATGGTATGAATCCCTCAGGTACTTTGCCACCAAAGTTGATACGGAGGTGTTGGAGCCAAAATCAGAGCAATGTTTTCAAAGGTGTCTGTCCCAAACACTCCTTGAGTCCACATCGAAAAACCTGAAAGAACCTTGTTTCTCCTCAAAACTGGCGTTGCGAAGTTGGCCTTCTTAAAACCTGAACTGTCACACCTACCAAGTTTTGTAACGGATGTTTGAGCAGCCAGTGGCAACGGGAAAACATGCAAAAACTACAGTATCCGAATTCCATCAGGAAAAAAGTATCATCAGGCCACTGCATCTGGAGTTTTTGGTGGACCTGTTGAGAAAAGAAACTCCTGAAATCGCCCAACAACGCCCCACCAGACCGGGGCCCCGGGCATGGGCCATGCGATTTCTTCTCTGCACTGGGTACCACCACTGGCCTGCAGAAATTTTGGATCAAAGTCTGAGGGTTGGAAAAAAAGGATTAATGAATAGATATAAACAATTATAAACAGATATATATATATATTGAAAAGATGTGAAGATTGGCAAATTAACTAATCTTCAGGAAACTTTGATCGAAAATCCTGAAAATCCTGAAACCTGAACTCCGGGCCTGGGTAATTCCGCCACCACTGCAGCATCATCTGGGATCTCTACGGGTTTCTCCTGAACAGCAGGCGTATCATCATGGGGCCTCGACCTTCAGAAAGCGTGTCATCCAAGCTCAACTCCTGCGTCTAAATTCTAGCGCAACAAGTGGTAACAGTTCGTAACTAGTGGTCAATGAATTCCCAAGACATTCAGAAAGATCCATGATGCAGTTCAATTCAACATTCCTATACACTATGGACTGCAGTGAAAACAGTTCCTAGGCACCACATGGGAATTCAGTTATTGGCGAACTGAAAATCCATCCAGTCAGTCCTCACATGTTCACCAATAGCTAGCAGGAAACCAACCTCAACCCTCAACATCCCAAACCGACCTCCAGGCCAGAAACTGGGCCCTCAGACCGAAAAGATGTGTTTCAAACGTTCCACCAACCTGGGTATTTTGCACCATCATCAGGGAAAATCCATGCAACACAGAAAGAAAGGTTCAAAACTGCTACGGGCTGTATGGTTTTCTCTACCAAGAAAGTGGTATTCGGTATTCGGCAATCTCTCCCCGGAACGTGGCTTTCCTTCAGCAGCTGCATTTTCTCCAAATTTTGCCAAAGATTCCCAACGATTCGACTGAAAACTTTCAAGTCCCACAATTCGGCAAGAAACTGATGGTCACACCTTACCTTGCCGTGATTTTTGCTCCACTGCTCCCGATTAGTGGCCCTCCAAACTGCCAGGGCTCACCCAGTGAGTCGCAAATGTTTGGGCAAGGCCGGGCCGGGCAAAGTCAGCACACCCTTTCGGCCGGAGCGCCTTCTATCCAAACCTCATCACAGTTCACAGCCGGGGATGAAGTATGAACGAATCAACCTTGCAAACATGGAAATTCTCAACCTTGGAATCTGAACGAATCACAACGGAGTGCCATTCAGATTTGGACCTGAGGATCCTTCTGCACTTCAAACATCTAAGTCCAACAAGACATCCATGGCCCCAATGGCCAAAACCCATCAACACACTGTTCAGAGCGCCTCCAACAAACAAATGGCGAAGATCTACCTGACGAATAAAAAAATTGCGATCTGCAGCCACTGGATTCTGATGATTGCTGGGTCTCCAGAGATTTCCGTGGTTTAGTCTCCACATGTTGGACCATGTGTCGGAATGTGGGAATCTGAGGATCTCCAGAGTTTAACATGTCTCTGTCCCATCTTCGCCAATTCAATGAAATGTGAAATGGACATAAATTCAAATGCCAACAAAACACTGACATGTTCTACAGATTTCACACGGTCATACGACCATACGACAATGACGATGACAACCAGTTGTGTACCTTAGCAGAGCCAAAACCCAATCCATTTTGTTTGGCCTGACCCGGAAAAGCTCCGCTAGTTTGGCGCGGCTGGTGATACGTGGTGAGCGTTCTCTGTAGTATTGCAAAGGTCAAACCCCGCAAAACTATCAAGGGGCAACAAAATCTGGGTCATTGATTTCCACGTGCTTCCATCATATCCAAATTTTTCTACTGCTAGACTGCCTAGCTGAGACGAAATCACTGGGAGAAATTATTGAGTGATTTTGGCTCTCACCCCAAGTATTCGCCTGACGATGTGGTAACGCCATGGCAGCATTCGAAGCTTCTGAGTGACATTGGGTTTTAAGAAGAAGTTGATGAATCTGAGACTGCTATGCTGCAAATTGACTGTTGGTTTTCACTTTGTTGCACGAAACCAGGCTTTGCTCTTTTTCTGCATGTTTAGGACGGTTCCTGCTATGGCACCGTTCAGACGACATGTGTCATGCCAGGTGAATCATGGGGCCATCTGGCACTGCTTCGAGTGCACAAATACGCAGGGCCACACATCTGGGAATGAGTATCTCTGCATATGTACGTACTGTACATATGTATGTGTATATATATATATCAACTCAAGCACGGTCAGTTGTTTTGCAATCCCTCTGGATCTGTCACAAGTTCAAGGTTGTTTTTACAACCGATTTCCATCCCAACTCTTCCATCCATCTTTGCTGACACGTACTGTCATTTTTCAAGCTGCAGTATGTTGTTCCATAAACTCGTAGGAACCTTTGCTTTCTGGAATCCCGTCGCCTTTATCAAAAGCTTTGGGAAGTGGGCAGCGAAAAGAAGAACCCTTTCTTTTGCACCGGGAGGAACTTTTTGGAGGTACAGGACTGTCATACTTTCTTGTAAGTAAATGCTCATTGTTTTCGCATTCAACCAGCGTCCCCTGCGCATCACCAAATCACTCTGCTCTGTCGTTGAAATTAACCATGTTGCGCCTCCGGAGCGCAAGGAGCCAAGATCCAGTGGTTTCAGCTGCAGTGTTTTGGTCACCGGCAAATGAAGAGCACAAAGAATCTGCTTCAGTCTGTTCCTCAAAGTTTGACCGCTCCCTTGCCAGAGCTTTTGCTCAGGCTTCAAAGATCCAAAAGCCATATCAACCACGCCTATCAGATCAGGTATGTCCAGTTTTGCGACTTGATGCCGCGCAGCAGTCAGCCTTGTCTTTGGCTCTGGTATTGACACCAGAGCAAAATTGACTGAAAACTGAGCATCTCTCGGTAGTGATAGCTGTGAACGAAAAGCTGCCAGAAACTCACCCGCTCTTAGCAGTGCGCCCCACATCAGCGCTAGAGCTCCAGCCACTTTGTCCCAGCCCCAGAGAATCGCGACTGAGATGCATCCTAACAAAACCTGAAAGGGCATGGCCACATGATGAGCCGACGGCTCTTGTTTCACCCAGCTAAACGCGTAGTCCCATGCCATCTGAAGCATGCGTCTCAACAAAGGTTTTCTAGACACCACCAGGTTTATAGTCTCCAAGTAGTGGTTGTACGGCCTACCAGCAGCGTAAAGTGCCTTCCCAAACCGTACTAAAACCATGTTGATCTCGTCAATGCATTCGTAGTGTCTTTGCAGCATGAGGTCAAAGTCAATCTCATTTTCTGCCAGCCACGTACTGAAAACGGCTTGATGCTTCTCTCTCAGGGCCAGTGTAACTGGTAAAACTGGCCGCGTCACTGTGGGTTGCTCCCGGAGAGCTCTAGCAGAGGCTCGCGCAGTGTCGCCAGAATTTCGAGGAAAAAGCGGCATGGCTTGAGCACTACTAACTAAAAGCAAAATCCAGGACCTACGGGCTAAGTTCCCGGACCCCTGTTGTCCATAGAGAGAAGAAGCACAGAGACAGAAGGCAGGAGAGAGAGAAGAGAAGAGGAGCGACAGCGGCAAAGTAGAAGCAGGAAGGTGAGTTCGATGCCCAGTGAAAATCCAAAGGCAGACAAGTCCAAAAATGCCAAGTAGGATCCCGACATACCATCTCCGATTCCGGACCTCCTCCCAGGGCTCTGCAGGACCTTCTCCAGGAAAACCCAAGGTGCTATCAAACTCAAACTGCCTCTCATGCCAACGCTTTGTAATCCTCGACTCTCCCAATCTAGCCTGCCTGAACTTAGATCTGTCTCGAAAAACCAAAACGCTGGGCCCAAGCAAAACCAAAACGAGCCTAGTCCAGTTTGCCGCCCATCGTCGCATTGGAGGGAAACATGCCATCTCAAAAAGCTCTTCTGTGTTGGCTAGGACCCTCTCCCCAGCTGGTTCTCTGAGGGAAACTTCTCTGGTGGGGTCGTCCGCTACATTGAGACGTGTTGGCACAAAAGGCACCGTAAGGTAGATGCCAGCTGCCGTCACGCAAGAGCAAATCTTCCGTAAAACAGCTCCAAGACCCTTTGAGGAAGTCCTACCTTTCGAAACTGCTCCCCGCACCACCAGCGAGTCGGTCAAGGCCACAACTCTCGTATGCGAGGCTTCCTTTGCCAAGTGCATCACAAGCTTCAAAATGGAGGAGAGCTCCAAAATGTTGATGTGAGACAACTTTTTGAACTTCCATGAAAACAGGGTCTGCCACTTCTCCGTGAGGGCTGTCTGGTTCACCAAAAGATTCTCCAAGCCCTTGGTCTCACTGCACTCCTCCAGCTCCAGGACCTCCTGCTTCGCAAGCATAGCCAGACAGATGGTGCGTGCCAGCTCCAAGGAAAGCTTGGGAGTATATGTGGCCGAGGCCTTTGTGAACGCCCCTTGCACCAACACATGCTTCTGTTTACATTTGCATCTCCGGGCCAGCCTGCAAAGTGGGGCGTGAACTGAGAGGAAACGAAAAGGCTTCATATGTATGGACCCAAAACAGCACGAGTCTGTGCGGCACATATCTGAAGCCTCATGGTCACGGAGTGCTATGTAGCTAGGCAGTGCTCTCATCCTTGAAGAGAAAGTAGTTTCCAGAATGCCAGAGACCTCATTAATGAGGCCGATGTGCATCATTTGAAAACTCCTCTGCGCCAAAAGTGTTCCAAGAGCTGTTGCATCATCTGTAGGGTCAAAGCCAAAAGGCTGCTCCAGGCTCCTCAACTGCGGTCTCCTCATTATTGAGAAAGTGGTGCATGGAGGCTCCAGCATGAAACCTTTGATCTGTTCTGAGGCGCATAAGTGGGTGAGCCAACTCACAACATGTAAGTAACGGAGGTCATACTCTTCGCTCTCAGACAGGTCAATGCAGGGCCCCACTGAGAACCCCCAAGACTCCACCAACTTCGTGATTCCAGAAGCTCCAGAAAAAACCTCTATGAAGTCAAAACGGAAAGCAAGTGGGCGTCTCACTGGCTCTTCGTGCATGTGCTCCTCTACCTCCTCACCAATGCCCAACTGGCGCAGCAGTATCTCATGCTGGGACCTAAAACGGGTGTAGGACCCTTTTGACCTGCATGACTTCCACAAAACTTCAACTACCTCCTTGCTAGGCTGGCACTTGACGACGGCCCCTCTGTAGGAAGAGGCATCTGTTGCATACAAACAGTCATGGTAAGGTGCCGACAATTCAGTGACTGCAAGGGGCATCAAAATCGCCAGCATCACCAACTCATCCTTCAGAGCGCGTGTAAGCCGCACAACCTTGGGCTTGATGGGGTCAACATGCGCAGCATCCACAAAACTGAAGGCATGTCGAAGTATAGACATCAGGGGCCTGCGATACATCAGCATCGAAACCCAGGCCCCAACCAGACAAAGGTGAAGTGCATCAGTGGTGTATCCTAAAGCGCACAGCTGCAGGGTGACGAAAGAGAGGGCCAGCTTCTTCTTCAAAGGCGCGCCTAAGGTCACCAAACCCAACCTCCTCGCTCTAGCTGAAGCGTTCATCTGGGCTCCAATCACCTTGGCCTCGTCCTCTCCAACTACATCTTTGTCGGGGCTGCCTAGCAAGCTGTGCTCCTCATACTTCTGCCTCGCACCCAAAAGAAACCTCTCTGACAAAGAAGCCCCTCGAGCTCTGTTTTCTGGCTCCACCGAAACGCAAAAGTAGTCATCAATGCAAAGGCCCTGAGCGAAACTGCTCGAGCGAAGGGGAGACTGCGACTGCAACCTAGTACCTTCATCTAAGAGCCCTGCATCCTTCAACAGCTGTGTGTGGCCTTCAGTGGCCAGGTCAACTCCTGCATGATCCCCTTGAAAAACACTGCCAAACGCGACCCAACATTGCCCAAACTCTCCTCTGCTTTTCCTGGGACCTGGGCTTCGCATACCAAGCTGGTCTCCATCCCTGAGACGGTCATACCTTTGCTTCTGCATCAAACCTAACAACTGCGGCCATACCTGTGTCTCCTCAAGCCACTCTGTGGGCAAACCTGGGCCTACTGTATTGCAAAGCGCTCTGGACCTAGTGACCCAAAGCTGGTGGTAGAAGTCCCTCCGGTCTGTTGCGCAAATCGACAGAGTTTGGGTAGAAGGGTCAACGACCAAATCCTGTAGATCGGGTCCAGCAGGAAGCCACCTGGAAGGTCCTACCACTCTTGCCTCAATGCTGTTGCGGCCACGATGGTCTCCTATCTGCCGGTCACATGTAGGGTTCTTCAAGGCGCTAAACACCCGAACCAGTTCTCCTCGTCTATGCTCAAAGGACTGGTCAAAGTGAGCGACCAAAAGACCATGCGAGTCCCAGAGCTTCGCAAGCTTAAAGACCTCCTCAGGCTTGTCACGTATGACAGGGCAGTTACTAGGTTCTCTCCTCAGCTGTATGACTCTTGGGTCTCTGTACACCATGACAAGTTCATCACCCAAAAAATCGGTGATGTCCCATGCGCCTCTCCCGTGAATGCTAAGCCTTGCTGCATCCAGATCACGGTATGGTTCGAGCTCTGGCATTTTTGCATTGTCCACGGGAGGCCCCTCGGCATACCCAGGAAAAGTCCTGGTGTAGGGGCTAGCCGCAATGCCATGGGCTGTCACAAAATCAGACAGCTCTGAAAGTCGTGCAGTCAACCAGCTTGAACTATTGGAAAACTGAGATTTGGATCATCCGACTTCACCAAGGCCTTGAGGTGCTTGATCAAAGCTGTGTGCTGCCGGTTCAGGCCTCTCTGCAGCTTCTCTTTCTCCACAAAAACTCCACCACTGTGCCAGAAATTGAGAGCCATGATCATGACGAAAACGACCTTATCCAGCAGGTGAGGCTTGGAGAAACTCCTAGGCTGAGAAGTGGCAGGCATCCCATTAAACAGGCTCCAGAACGGAACTGGAATGGGGAAGAAAGTCGGTGCAGGAGACAACCTCTCTGGCTTCTTCCTGGAGGTTCTGATTGCAAAAACAAGGAAAGCAGCAAAGGGGCACCTGGCTCTAAGTGCTCCAGAAACCAAACGAGCACACCACTTCGGATATGAGAGAGTGGTCTCCAAAAACTTTTCGCCAGGAATTTCTGTGCCAAAAACTAAATTCTCATGGTCATGCACGTCCTTGCCTTCCGAGGCTAGGACCCCGCTTCTTCGTTCTGCTTGGGCTTTCGAGGGAAGCGAGGTTTCCGCTTGGGACTCGCGCTCCCCCCTTCCTCCTCCTGATCGCCGGTGGCGCCTGTAGGCTTCTTTCCCCCTTTCAGCTCTCCCTTCTTGGTGATCAGCACATCCACCTCTTTAATGTAAGCAAGTGTCGTAGCTGCTAGGGTTGGAGGAACCAGGTTGGCAAAAGGCTTCCCCACCGCTGCAACTGTTTGAGGGCGACCCTGAAACATCACTGGAGGTGGCTCCTCCAGCAAGGTGAGGTGGTATGCTATCCTCCAGTCTCCATCCGTGGCAGCTTGCTCCAGGGCCAGGGCTAAAAGGGCCAGAAACTCCTGGCATGACTTGTGGTCCCCATGTGCTGAGGCATCGATTGCATGAGCTAGGACCCACATCGTCATCCCTACTTCCCTCGCATTTCTGAAGTTCCCAAAACGCTCCAAGTAATTGCACATGCTCATCTGACTCCCTAGGAGATCCTCTTCCTTCAGTAGCACTGACTTGGCTGGGAACATCTTTCGATGCATCTGCTGATGAAGCTGGATGAAGAAGGTGGAGGACTGCCCGGCAAGGTCTGCTTGCAGCTTCTGTCGCCTTTGCAGGCCTTTTGTAGACGCTCCAAGGGATCCAGACACACTTCCATGCAGATCGGTCATAGCGTCTCCTCCCCCGGCAATGTGCGCCACCAGTGCGGTGACTGCCGCCGACTGCTGAGTCAGAGCTGCCAACACTGAGTCCTGATGATCCGGGCTCTGAAGCACATCTAACGGCTCGTCCATGTCTACCCCTAGGCCAGGCAAAGTAGACCCCAATGCTGCATGCAATGCCTTGGTCTTTGGCGGAGGCCCCAACGTCTTTGCCAGCGCCCCCAGAGTCGAGGCTTTCGGCGGAGACATGGAACTGGAGAGGGCAGGCATTTTTGGTCCTGAAAGAAGTCCTCCAAACATCTGCGCGGGCACATCCTTTGCAGAAGCCTCGCCTAATAGGTGCTGCTGTAAAGCCCTCTGTGAGTCCATCAAAGCACTCACCTGAGCGGTCAATGACTGCACCTGCTCGGCCAGGGCGGCATTGGTGGGCTTCCGCAAGCCGGTTCCAGGTCTTTTTGCCGCAGCGGCACCTGCTTTCTTGGGAGCGGTGGCTGGGATATGCTCGTCTCGAGCGCTGTAAAAATTTGCCCTGGTTGCCGCAGTCTCTGCCCAGGCCATGACCTCTGCAATCGCCCCCTCTAGGTTCGGCAAGGCATTGGGGTAGCTGGCATGGAATGGTGCTATGGCTTCTGTGGAATCTGTGACAGGATCATATTCTCGCAAACTGCTAATGATCCCGTCCGAAAAGTCAACACACAGAGTGGGGACAGAAAAACCTGTCCGTTGCACCAGACCCTCATCATCCTCCTCCAAGAGCTCCAATGTCAGGACAGTGGAAGGTCCGATCACGGCCTCATCATCTGCAGATTGGCCAGCCACCAGGACATCATCCGTAAACGTTGCCTCTGGGAGTGCTAGCAAGATGCCTCCCTGACGCACAGCAATAGGCACTGCAAAAAACTGCCTGTCTTCCAAAGCTTCGTCTCCGTCCAAGCTGAGCACCAGTGTGGACGGGTCCCCTGCTGTTGCAGGCTTTATTCTTGACTTCTCCATTGTATCTGCTTTGGGAGCGAAAGGCCAGCTCCCGAGCAGAGGATATGCAGCTCCGTCAGAGAAGCAACAGACACCAGGATGTTATCTGCTTCCTCCCACAGGGCCTTGACGCAGTCAGACTTCCGGGTAGATCTCACAGGCAAACCTCCAAGGGCTCCTCTGAAAACGATCCAATGGGCTGGATTCAATCCCTTCAAACTTTGCGTGTCCTGAAAAGGAGTGCTTGTCTCAAGGGCAATGCGAATCCAAAAACCTGTCTGAAAAGCCGCCTCGGCTCTCTGCAACGGGGAGAACTTGCCTGGCTTGAGATTCTTCTCGGCTAGATCTTTGCAGATCGAAGGCAGCACTGGCGGCCCTTCTTCCACAGAGAATTCGCGAGAGGCCGTCACAGGGACCCAATCCGAAAAACTCTCGCCCTCAATCACTTCCCAAGTCTCTGCTGCTTGCGTGGTAGGGTGAAGCCTACCAGACGACAAACGTAAAATCTCTCTTTCCAAAAAGACCACCCGCTCTTTCAACAAACGATTCTCCTCCTCCAAAGCCCCTCTATTCATGCACTAGGTATCCTGCCACTCTTGACCTCCTTTTCTCAGGGATGCCAGGGGAAGGTAAATCAGAGGATGGATAGGCCGGAGTGGAAGAGGATGGTGGATGACGGGGATGTTGAAGGCCCTCGTGCTGGGGGGCTACAAGTCCAAGTCCAAAGCCCAGTCTCTGGAGAGACAAAAGGACCCAAAATCCAGTTAGGAGTCCAAGGCAAAGTCCAATGCCGATCCCAGCCACGAAGGAAGAGAGAAAATTGCCGGAGCAATGAGCAGGGCAAGAGAAGAGCCAAGAGTAAGTGGACAGAGAGTCAAGGATCCGGGGAACCTGCAAAACCCAATCCATGAAGCTTGAGCGAACAACACCGGAGCAGTCGTGGATGCAAAGGTCATATATACATACATATGCACATATATATGGTACCCCCCCCCCAGCATGTCTGTATCATACAGGTTTTGGCGGTTCGATGGTACTGCCAAAAGCATCCTGTCAATGACCTTTTCAATGACGGTGGCATCAGGTACATCGGCTTCATTAGCAATAGCGGCATTCCAAATCATTCGCACAGCTTCCCCCTACTGGACACTATCAAATCCAAATGTTCTTAAAAAGTTTCTTGGAAACACTGTTCCGGAATCCCATTGTGGGGGTCTGTTGGGGGTTTGAGGTCATATGAGTCATATTCAACAATCTCTTTCAAATAGATATGTTCTCCAGGCACCCAGGCCTCCCATCCCCGGAAAAGGCCAATCATCAGCTCAGCTGCAACCCTAAACCCAGCCCACAACCTGGTGGAGATGCTGCGTCAAAAGCCCTTTAAAAACACCTCTCATGTAAGCAGCAACTGCTAAAATTATGTGATGTAGAAATGATGAATGATAAATAATTAATCTCTTACCAAGATATCAAAGGCTAGGTCCGGCTAGGTCTCAAACACCACACGTGACGAGAAATTCCAACGAAAGTGGGTGACTACATTGACTACATCACGTCCAGAGCGTGTTGACTGCGCAGTGAGGAAGGTTCATCTCTTCCCTGGTTCAGAGAGCTTTGAATCGAGCCGCAACAAAATCGAATATATAAACAAGGGGAAGCCCTTCAATATTCCAACATTAGACGCGTCAAAAAGAAAACCTTGAAAGAATAGGATTGATGATGATGTGCCAATTCCTTACGTTAGTAAGCACTTCTCCTCGCACCGCACAAAAGGCACCTGTGAAATCATGCCATTGGAAAGCAATGTACCATTTGACCAGAGTTGAACATGTTTTCATTCCTTTCGCCACTGACGTCGCTCAAGGGACGCATGTTGCGTCATGCAGTGAAACAGGTGCTCATGTGTGGGACCCCAGCCAGCTTATCAGCACCACTATGCCTACCACTGGTCTAGTAAAACATCCGATGCATTCGAAACCTCTTTTGCCCGCTTGTGTTCATTTACTATGTTCAAGAACCCACTCGAGATGCTTGCGACTGATCATTGTCTCAAGAAGTTCTGGATAGAAGCCAAAGACCAATTTACTTGCAACCGTCTTTATAGGCTGCTCTTGGTCGAGCTCCCCGCAGCGTGCCTTTGCAGCGCTTTGATTGCTGAACGATTCGTTGTTCCATACGTCGTAGAAAACATATCGCGGATCCGATGGCAACAGCAGACACCATGGAAGTGGCACCCGGCCAAATGGAATGGGAAAATAAACCGTTGAGGCATCACCTAGGAAAGCGGCCCACCATGAAAAAGTGCTAGGCGCAATGGCCACGTATGATGCCAAGCGCACGAACGCGAAATCACCCAGCCATCCTTCTTTACCCAATCGATCCATCTCTTGATAGACTTCAGCACCAAGTTCCTTTTGCAGTCGCATCACCGTGGGGTGACGACGCTGTCTTGGCTCTGTCACAATCCAAATCTTGCCACGAACAGGCACGGTCTGCAGGTAATGCTCCAGAGCCCATTTGTAAAACGCAAAGGGTGGGTTGAGGATCCGCCCCGTTTTTCGCTCAAAAATGGCGTCCCCTGAATAGCCGCGATAATGTAGAACGAAGTCGTTGGGCCCCGGCAGGCTGAGTGGTGGATCCAACAGAGGGATGGGACTATAGAAGAAACGTCGCAATTCCTCCTGATATTTCAAATCATCAGGTCCCCACTCTCCCAAACTTTGGTGATATCCTCCGCCAAACATTTTTATTCTTTTCTGCAAGAGGGCTGGACAGCCCTTGCCCTTGTTGCAGGTCTCACTCTTGTCACACCAGATTTGCTTTTCATTGCAACCAGCACAAAGTCTCATCACCATTTGGCCCACATCTTGACTGGAGCGAACACATGGTAGTTTCTGCAATTGTTTGTCAGATGGAAGAACCAGTAAAGGTGTGTTTGATGACAACGCACGGATCACCGAGATAGCCGCGGTGAAAAGTTGGTTGCCAAAGCGAGCTGCGTGATTTCCACCAGTATCATCCACACGAATTGCTCTGAAGGAACTCGAAGGTATGGAACTAGTCCAATTCACCATCGAAATTTTACAAAGTTTCTCAGCAGACGTTTCATCAAAGTCATCCTTACGAAGCCTACATTTGTCCGCAGGATCTGCAAGGTTGGGCATTGCCATGGAAACCGCTGGTGTCTTGGTTGCCATCGGGCTTGCGACAGTCGTGTCCCAACTTGTTGTCGTTTTGGACGCGTTGGACTGGGCTGAAATCGGGGAGTTTGCCAAGTGCATCATTGATTGCACAAATGCAAAGTCTTTCACATCAGGCAATTGCAATAAGAGCAACAAAATTAAAATAACATTACACAACAAAGGTAGTGATGCCCATCCAGGGAAGGATACGCAACATCTTCGTGAGTTTCTTCTTCTGTCCACGATGTCCACATCCTTCACATTTTTTGGGATGCTCCGATCTGCCACAAATGGTTCCTCCTCCGGGTCCAGTTCCTCCAGTTCCAACTCCTTGCACACACTTTTGGCCGTGGCAAACCCCAAAGGCATGAAATTGAAACATGTGCAGTGATGCTACCCCAAACTAGTTACTAGTTATTATGCGAAAGTAAACATTGTTATTTATGGCCATATGGTTTCATGAAAAACAAATAAACATTGCTGACAAAGAACAACATTCACCGTGTACTGTTGTACATTTTTACTCTCATGTGTCAAAGCAGAAGAAAAGGGACTCATTATCGATTTGAAATATCTAAAATATGTCGGTATAAATATGTCCGCGGAAATTGAAAGAATCCATACTGTTTAGACATGGTTAAGTTTGAATCTGGAATCACAAAAAATAGAACCGGCACAGCCTTGATTTGACAAGTCAAGGCGCATCTCTGGCCCCTAAAGTTTCAGGAGTCGGCATGGCACGCAGGTGCTGCTAACAATCGAATTGAACATGCAAATGGCACTGGTTTTTGTCCAAAACAAATGTTCGAAATTGTGTCCATGGTTGCAGATAAAACACATTTTGCGGCTGAATCAACGCCATGGTCTTCCACCTCAACGAATGACACTGGCTATGCATTTTCCTGTGAGTGGAAACACGTACCCCCGTTGCCTGATCTGTTTGGAAACATCACTCCGTTGCAAACCCTAAACCATTGTGGTTGCGAAATGAAAGCAAGAATGGTTTTTGACAATTATTTTTTTCTGTGCCTGTTTGTATCCAAACCTCAGAGCCAGCAATGCATTATTATAAAATATTGTAAATACATTGTAACCCGGTCTAGTCTCTTTGTGTGTGGGCATTTTTGGCTATTGAGACTATATGGAAACTATATGGAATTTTGCAGAAAGTATATAGAAACTATATAGAAACTATATGGGGATTTCAGGGGGAAAATAGGTCACTTGTATTAAGAGATCATATTATAATCATGTTGTTTTCATAGTATGGTACGCGATGGTGATTATTGTGAAAGGTTACAAATAGTATAGTTAAACATAGACATAAAATCAAGTTCACATTCATGATTCATGATTCATGACTGCAATACAACCCAAAAACAATGTGAAAAAAACCATATATATATATATATGTATTATCAATGTCACGAAAATGGTGTTTGTAGAAACGGTTTTGACGGTTTCCGGCTGTATCATGATAGTAAGATTTAGGATAGTCTGAAACGGTCTCGACGGTTTCATACTATAACATGTCAGGGCCTTTTTCAGAGACGGTCTCAGACGGTCTCAGACGGTCTCAGACGGTCTCAGACGGTCTCAGACGGTCTCAGACTATATCCGTTTTTTCGACTTTTTTGGGTGGTTTAGTGTGAAACGGTCGCGACGGTTTCTGACCCTAATGACTCTTACAGTAGGAAACGGTCTCGACGGTTTCAGCACACAGTTTTTTGCTACCATAGGTCATCATATTTTTTGATGTTAAATTTTAAAACATGATGTAAATCATAAAATCATGAGAAAGATGATATATAGAATATATTGTATCTATTTACAATCAAAATTCATACGGAATGCGTGATGGCGTTTTGAAATTTCAGAATTCAATGAGAAATGGGGATAGTGAAGCGTACATGATGAGGATGTTACATGAGGTTCTAGAATGAAGATTAATCAAGTGAGGAATGACGATGTCATGAGGTTCTAGAATGAAGATTAAATGAGGGATGCGGATTTGGTGAGATTCCAGGCAAGAGAAATCAATGAGGGAGGATTCAATGAGGGACTAAGATTTGGTGAGAGAACGAGGATTGGCGAGGTTCCAGACTGAGGATTAAATGAAGAATCAGGATTTGGTGAAATTCCACAATCAGGATTAAATGAGGAATGAGGATTTGGTGAGGTTCCGGAATGAAGATTAAATGAGGAATGAGGATTGGGTGAAGTTCCAAACTGAGGATTAAGTGAGGATTAAAGGGGGAAACCAAAATATGATGCTTTCCAGTCTGTGACTCGCAGAAAATCTCATAAAGCTAGGTTTTAAGGCTTAAGGAGAGCTGGAAACCGTCTCAGACCGTCTGAGACCGTCTCTGGGAGCCTCGTTTCAATAGAAATCAGAAAACATGTAACTTGAGAGGGGGAACACGAAAGGTAGGTAAGCAAGAAAGGAACCGAAGAAAAAATGAAGGGGAGAGGGGAGGGAAAAATACATAAAGTGGAGACTGGTAAAAGCGACGCGGCCATTTTCTTTCCAAAAATATGAAGGGGAGTCTGGTAAAAGCGACTGAAAGGCTTCGGCGATGTGGTTGGGGTTGGTGGTGGTTGTGGTGTTGGTGGTGTTGGTGGTGCTGGTGGTGTTGGTGTTGTGCTGGTGGTGTTGGTGTTGTTGGTGTTGTTGGTATTGGTGTTGTTGGTGTTGTTGGTGGTGGTAGTGTTTCTGGTGTTGTTAGTGTTGTTAGTGTTGTTAGTGTTGTTGGTGTGGTTGGGTTTGTTGGTGGTGTTGGTGTTATTGGTCGTGTTGTTCGTGTTGTTGGTGTTGGTATTGTTCGTGTTCGTGTTGTTGTTGTTGCTGTTGCTGTTGCTGTTGTTGCTGCTGCTGTTGATGGTGTTGTTGTTGTTGTTGTTGTTGTTGTTGTTGTGTGTTGTTGTGTGTTGTTGTGTGTTGTTGTGTGTTGTTGTGTGTTGTTGTGTGTTGTTGTGTGTTGTTGCGTGTTGTTGTGTGTTGTTGTGTGTTGTTGTGTGTTGTTGTGTGTTGTTGTGTGTTGTTGTGTGTTGTTGTGTGTTGTTGTGTGTTGTTGGGTGTTGTTGTGTGTTGTTGTGTGTTGTTGTGTTGTTGTTGTGTGTTGTTGTGTGTTGTTGTGTGTTGTTGTGTGTTGTTGTGTGTTGTTGTGTGTTGTTGTGTGTTGTTGTGTGTTGTTGTGTGGTGTTGTGTGTTGTTGTGTGTTGTTGTGTGTTGTTGTGTGTTGTTGTGTGTTGTTGTGTGTTGTTGTGTGTTGTTGTGTGTTGTTGTGTGTTGTTGTGTGTTGCTGTGTGTTGCTGTGTGTTGCTGTGTGTTGTTGTGTGTTGTTGTGTGTTGTTGTGTGTTGTTGTGTGTTGTTGTGTGTTGTTGTGTGTTGTTGTGTGTTGTTGTGTGTTGTTGTGTTTTGTTGTGTGTTGTTGTGTGTTGTTGTGTGTTGTTGTGTGTTGTTGTGTGTTGTTGTGTGTTGTTGTGTGTTGTTGTGTGTTGTTGTGTGTTGTTGTGTGTTGTTGTGTGTTGTTATGTGGTTGTGTGTGTGTTGTTGTGTGTTGTTGTGTGTTGTTGTGTGTGTGTTGTGTGTGTTGTGTGTGTTGTGTGTGTGTGTGTTGTGTGTTTTGTGCGCTGTGCATTGTGCATTGTGCATTGTGCGTTGTTGTTGTTGTTGTTGTTGTTGTTGTTGTCGTTGTCGTCGTCGTCGTCGTCGTCGTTGTTGTTGTTGTTGTCGTCGTTGTTGTTGTTGCTGTTGCTGTTGCTGTTGCTGTTGTTGTTGTTGTTGGTGTTGGTGTTACCCCTGCAGCGTTTTTGCTCGGTTCCGTAGTGGCCGAAAATCGTCAAATAGGTGGTGTTTTCGCGTGTTTTTGCAACTCTCGGAGCAAAAAACACCGTAAATACCAATGTTTTTGGCGGGTCGGAAGCCCAAAACCACGGTATTTACGATGTTTTTTGCCTCTGGTAGTAAAAAGCACGGTATTTACAGTGTTTTTTGGCCAGCACCTAGCAAAAACACTGGTATTTACGGAGGTTTCACCATGTAACAAAATGTGGTTTCTTGATCCGAAAAGAACAAAAATACTGTAAATTACAGTATTTTGAGTCTGCTCTTAGGGTGCGTGGGAGGTGTGGAGGGGGGGGGGAGGGGGGTACTAAAATAACTAGCAATCTCCTGAAGAATCAGGTAACGGGGCTGGCCGCCCTCCCCTTTACTTCGTAAAGTAAAACTCAAGGTAGCCCCTCTGGAGCTACCTTTCGTGACATACAGGAATCACAGAGAACTATAATGAAACTGCCATGATCTATGCTGAACTAGAATCAGGGGGCTTGTGAAACTTGCTGGGTTTCATCGAAACCAAAACCGCTCATCAGGGGCGGTGGCCTGGGCCAAGGTATCCCAGCAGTGACTGCCATGAAACTGAACAGAGAATTTGGGCTCTTAAATCTGATGAACACTCCTGAGCACTGTTCAGCACCTTTTCACTCGGTTAGCTCGAAGGTAGCTAAAAGCACTAAAATGGCTGCAGCACATATACAAACATATGTACTACATGTAACATGGTCTATACTGTACACATATCTGATCACGCCTCCCGAGCCTGTTCGGAGGCACGGTGAGTCCAAGTGCTTTGAACTAGGCGAGTTTTGATATGTACAGCGGAGCATAGCCACGACTCAAGCCATCTATGCCTTCAGTGTCAGGTGATGTTCACCTTCCAGAAAGTGAAAGTTCATATTCCGCAGGGCTTTGTTCATCTTCTCCTCTATGACGGGTTTCGTCAAGACGTCGGCAAGCATATCGCCAGTGTCGACCTTCTTCAGCCGAAAGTAGCGCTTGGCAACGCGGTCTTGTACCCAGTGGTATTGAGTATCCACGTGCTTGGCCTTGCCTAATCCTCTACGTGAACCCATTGCTATTCCTGCACTTGCATCCATGAAAACTTCACTCTCAGGTTGCAAACCCCAGTCTTTGGCGGTTGAAACTTCTCCCAGCAAATTGCTGGCACCGCTCACAAGAGCGTAATACTCACTCTCTCCAGACGAAAGACTAACAACTCCTTGTCCTTTAGAATAAGTCTTGATACAACAACCACCGGCCATCAAGACGCCTCCTGACACGCTCTTCCTCGTCTTCACGCATCCAGCGTGGTCAGCATCAGACCACATCACAAATGGACTGAGTTTGTTCTGATGAGGAAAGAATTGTGCCATGCGTGGTCGATACCTAAGGTATCGTGCAACTCTTTTGAGCATAAGCATGTGGCTGGTAGTTGGTCGTTGTAGCCCTTGTGCTAAAGATCTTGTTGCTACTTGCAAATCTGGTCGGTCTTGTGCCAAATAAGCTGCTCGCATTGCAACGGATCTATACTGGGTTGCTTCTTCATCGTTGAGAAAAACAGCGGTATCCTTAAGATCTTCCACTGATCCTTTGGCAAGTGGTGTCTTGACTTTGGCTCATCGGGGACCATCTCCGAGTAAATCAATCACCAACTCTGCGTGACGTGCATCTGGTTCCCACCAAATTCCATTCTCCTTCCATGTGATAATTCTGTTCAGGACTCTGATGTCCTGGATGGTGTTTGGTGTTCCTGGTGGTCCTAAAATACCACGTTCCACGCATTTCCACTTCTTTGACAGCTCTTCATGAAGCCATTTGATGTTGTCAAATGTTCCTGCTGTTGTAAAATCATCTCCATGTACAACAGTTCTGAGGTCTCGGCCTGCATGGTAGTATATGCATGGATTGCTTTTTCCTTGCTTGAAACCTAAGGCCAA